CGCCGGCTGCTCTGTGATGGTCGCGTCCAGCCTGGAGCCCGCGCGCGCACTGCGGGGCGGCTCATTTCCCGTCTCTGGGAGGCCAGCCTTCCTCCCCCACGGAGATCAGGTGCCCCGGGCAGGGCCGCGGCCCCCAGTCCCCACCGGCCTTCCAGCAGAGCGGGCCCCTCACGGTGCTGGGCTGCGTGGACTGTGAGTCACCCCGCTGGGCAGAGGCCCGGCGGCCTGGGCACGGTGGTCACGCAGTGGGCGCTCAGTAGCAGCCGAGCAGAGAGCTCCGGGGCGGGGGGGGGGGAGGGGCCCGGAGAAAATGTCACCCAGCCGTGACTCATTCAGGATGCGTTTGCAGGGGCACCTCCAGGCCGAGGAGAAATGCTTTAAAGGGCAGAGGAGCCCAGGTCCCACGAAAAGAGGGTCCGCTGCAGGCAGGACGGGGAGGCGAGGAGAAGGGCGAGGAGAAGTCCGTGTCCGCTCCTCCCTCTCCCTGACCTGGGGCTCTTGCTTCCAGAGCCGGCGGTGACGGTGCCAGCGGAGGACTGGACGCCTCGAGAGCTGATGCTCCTCATCCTCTGCTTGGTCCTGGGGACCCTCCTGCTGGGCGCGCTCATCAGCATCCTGGTCCTCCTCTTGAGAGTGAAAGGGAAATACGGTGGGTGTGGCGCCTCGGGGGCCGTGGGCAGGCCCAGGCCCGGGTGCAGCCCCCTCGGGGGGAGGGGGACCCCAGCGGGAGTAGCAGTGATTCAGCCCTGGACTTGGGAGAACCTCTTGATGGGAAGGATTTTCCCAGCATGCCCAGCAGAAGTGGACCAGTGTGGTCCCATGGGAGGACCAGACCATGTGTGTGTGCCTTGTTGGGGGGGGGTCCGGGGGAGGGGGCAGAGGGAGATGGACAGAGCCAGGCAGACGGGAAGGGAACCAGCGATGACTTGCAGGGTCTCTGCCTCCTCCCTCAGCCCTCCCTGCCGCGGGGACGCACCAGCACCGGCCGGCCGCCCCAGCCGGGGTCAATAGCTACCAGGAGGTCCCCAGCACCGTCCCCAAGGACGAAGGTAGGATGTGACCTCCTGGGGTGGGAGGCTGCAGCGGACAGGAAGGGCTCCAAGCAGGGCCCCACCGGGAGGAGACCTGGGGCAGCCTCCGCCGGGCCTTGACGGGGGAGCTTGCTGGGCCGTAATTCTAGTCCAGCCGTGGGCAAACTACGGCCCGCGGGCCGGATCCGGCCCTTTGAAATGAATAAAACTAAAAAAAAAAAAGACCGTACCCTTTTATGTAATGATGTTTACTTTGAATTTATATTAGTTCACACAAACACTCCATCCATGCTTTTGTTCCGGCCCTCCAGTCCAGTTTAAGAACCCATTGTGGCCCTCGAGTCAAAAAGTTTGCCCACCCCTGGTCTAGGCCCTTAGGCTTCCGAGTTCGGGACCCACACAGGACCTTGCTCCCCCTGGAAATCTCTGCTCTGCTAATTGGCCAGTAGGTTGTGATGTCATTTCCTCTCTTTTTTTAAAAAAAAAATTATGTTTTTATTGGTTTCAGAGAGGAAGGGAGAGGGAGAGAGAAACACCAATGATGAGAAAGAATCATTGGCTGGCTGCCTCCTGCACACCCACTATTGGGGATCGAGCCCACAACCCAGGCATGTGCCATTGACCAGAATCGAGCCGGGACCCTTGAATCCACAGGCCGACGCTCTGTCCACTGAGCCACACCGGCCAGGGCTGTCATTTCCTCTCTCGGTGGCTTGTCCACTCAGCCTCCCTGCGGGGCCCCAGGGACATCGGAACTTGGGTCATCACCATGCTTTATGCGCACGGGCCGTACCCCTCGGAACGCGGGTCACAGAGCTGGAGTCTCCGCACATTGTGCTGTGACTATCGGATCGCCTTTGTCTGAAAACCGGGCGGAGCCCAGCCCGGCACTAACATGCCCTGCAGCACCCGTGTGGGAGCACGACCACAGGCCCAAGCAAGGCTGGCTCAGAGCGGCCACTCACTGAGCATGAGGTCGAGGGGCCAGGTGAGGGCCTCTGTGCCTCAGTTTCCCCAGCTGCACAATGGGGCACCGACGGACCCTACCTCCCGAAGCTGCTGTGAGGACTGAGTGAGACAATGTCTGTAAACGTTAGAATGGTGCCGGGCAGGCCGTGACCGCCCTGTAAGTGTTCCTTACCTGCGTGTCATGCAGTTCCCCGTGTTTGCAACGGGTGGAGACAGCTGGGAAAACCCAGGCTGAGGTCTTGTGCCAGACGAGCTGCCTGGCGCTCTCCCTGCCTCTCTGCCTCCCGCCATCTACGCTGTCTGCGCCTCTCCCTGCGCCCTCCGCCCTCCGCCCACCACTTGGCCGTGGCCCCACTCTGTTCTCTCCCCAGCTCCCAAGCTGCCCATCCAGGCCCAGGCCCCGCCCCCCGCGGACTCGGACTCCAGCTCCGACTCAGACTATGAGCACTATGACTTCAGCGCCCAGCCTCCCGTGGCCCTGACCACCTTCTACAGTGAGTGCCGGGCCCGGGCCCAGGGCCCTCTTGCCTGAGCCAGGGAGAGGCCGGCTGCCCGGGGCCTCCAGTAGATCCCACCTGATGACCCCTGCAAGCTGGGGTGGACCCCCCTTGTTACCCACCGGGTCCACTGTAGGTGGCCCCGCACTGACGTTTTCAAAGTGCTCTGTGGCCCTGGAGGCCTCTCCATGCTCCAGGCATTCCCCACCCCCGCCTCCTCCCCGCCCACGCTCACCTCTGGCCACCAGGGCCTTCCGGCTGGTCCTTCGCCCCTCGCCCGAAGGTGGCTGTGTCTGTGCGACACGAGGGCATCAGGGCAACAGTCCAGTCGGCTTCCTGCACGCTCACACGCTCTGTCTGTGCCCCACTCTCCCCAGCAGCCTCCCCCACCGCAACCCCCACTGTGAGCCCAGCTCCTCCTGCTCTCCGGCTCCTGCGGCTCTCCACTCTGCCTTCTGGGTAGCAGGTCCCGGGCAAAGCGGGGGGGACTGAACGAGAGCAGAAAATCCCGCACCCACTGAGGACTCCCTGGGAGCTGGTGGCAAATCCCCGAGCCCCGCCCCGCACCTGCTCTATAAGTTCGGGTGACAGTTTGCTGTGTGTGACGGAGGCCCAAGTGACAGTGTCCTCAGACATTGGCCCAGGGCCCAGGCTCCTTCCCTCTTGTTGCTCTGTAGTCCCTAAGGTGTTGCCCTCGTCCATGTGGCCCAGCATGGCTCACCTCCATGCCCACGTCCCAGCCAGCGGGAAAGGGGGTCAGAAGGTGGGATGTGCCCTCCCCTTAAGGCCGGAGGTGCCTACGTGGCTCCCGCTGAGCATTCGCCAGCGGAACTTAACCCGCCAGCTGCAAGGGAGGCAGGGGCACGGGGCCTCTGTCCTAGGCCGCCGTGTGTCCTGATCAAGGCCCAGGGCCTCCCCACGGCAGGAGGGGAAGTGGATATCGGGGACCCCAGGGCCTCTGGCATGCAAATGGCCCCACTTCTTCTGGTGCCTGTGCTGGTGTTGGGAGCAGAGAGCCTGAGCCCAGCCTCTAAGCCGGGAGGCCACGAGTTCAGGGGTCCCAGGCTCGAAAGAGCCGACTGCAGATTCAGACCTGAGTCCTGAGCTCCTGTGCGCCTCCCCTGGGTTCTGGAGGAAGGAGCGGCCTGTGGCAGGTCCCAGACCCCCCAGCTTACGCTCTGGGCGCTCCTCAAGGGCCGTGTCTGCCGTCTCCTGCCCAGATCTGCCTACCCGCGGGGAAGGGCCTCCAGGTTCTCTGAACTAGCGGGCGGGGCACCTGGGGAGCAGGGGTACAGGCCGAGGGCTTCTGACCAGAGGCAGCCTCTCCCCGCCCCCATTTTCTGGACCAGGAAGTGAGCCCAGGACGGTCCCTCCTGCCCTGGGGTGGTCCTCCCGCAGGTCCAGCCTCAGGCCACCCTCCAGGCTCAGGGGACAAGGAGATGGAGCTCGGTCCCTCCTCACCGCCCTCTGCTTGCAGATTCCCAGCGATACCGGGTCACGGAGGAGCAGGCCCAGCAGAACCGGTTCCGGATGCCCGCCCTGGAGGAAGGTGGGTTGGCGGGGGCGGGAGGGGTG